TCAATTTGAATTGCCCGGCACCGCGCTGCAGGGCATAGGCGCCGCGGCTCCACTTGTTCTGTTTCGTTTTTCCGCGTTTTTTCTCCTACTTCATTTTGGACTTGGTTTTTGACATTTTACTTCATCATCAACTCTACTTAGAAGGTTTGGACATCCCCTATATATTCCGTACATTGTGATTTTCGCTCTTCTTCTTTATTTTTGAGTCAATAAAATCTCTTAATTCCTCTATCATATTTCTTGTCTTTATTATTCTTTTACTTGATCAATTACTTTATTATTGTGTTATATAATTTCAACATCTCAATTCGATAGTTGTTTCACAGATTATAATTAGGTTTTAGCTTTAACTATATAATCAAATTTATTTCCATTTCAAATTGCAAGTGAAAGAGTACAAATAGAGTGATTGTGCAAGAGAGAAAGTGTGAGGTGTGTNATTGAAAGAGTGCAAAACGAGTGAGTATGCAAGAGAGAAAGTGCAAGGTGTGCGTTAGTAAAGAAAATATTTTTGTTAATAAAATCATTCAAATTTGGCCTTTTAAACTCAACAGGATATGTATCATTTAAATGAATAAAGTTAATATAGATAATATTGGAATGTGATATGAATGAATATAGATTTTTTTTAGAAAAAAAATTTAATTTTAATAGGGGTAGATTAGAGTATGATAGATATATAAAAATAGATGAAAATAGCGGCTCCCTTAAATTGTCGCAAGTATTTAATAAATTTTGTGATAATCTCCACATTAATTAATTATTTCATTTATCATTGTTTCTTTCATCTTATTCACACAATTAGCTCGTTGATTTTTTTACACCATAACACCTCGTTACTAAAATTTGTCTAAATGATTACCTGCATAAGTTTTACCTCATTTTTGAAGCAACTAATTGTAGACAATGAATTATTAAAGTGGCAATTTTCAGCAAAATTTAAATTAATAAAATTCCTTTGAATTATGTTTTGCAGTCGTTCCTTGAAAAAAAAAAAAAAAAGAAGGGAAAATCACCAAAATGGTGGAAACTAGGTGAAGCTAAGGCCAGCAAGCTCGGTTGATATGTGTTTCGAGTTTTTGGCTATGATACCGTTATTGTTGGACTTCATTACCTTATGGGCTAGGCTAATTGATCACTTTTTGTTAAGGAACAATACATAATTCCTAGTTTTAATATTTACATTTCATAAATAACAAACTTATTAAAATATTTCAAAAATCAGGTGGTAAATAAATTTATTAAATATTAAAATATAATATAATATACATTAATTATTTACACCCCATGACACCTCACCCACCCCACAACACCACCTTCCCTCCATCTCTGGTACCTG